GGGAGATAGATAAGGAAAAAGAAAGAGAGAAAAAAGGAGATAGATAAGGAAAAAGGAAGGAAAAAAAATAGATTAAGGAAAAAAGGAAAAGGAGAGAGAATGGGGGAATATAAAAAGGAAAGAGAAATGGGAGATAGATAAGGAAAAAAGGAAGGAGAGAGAAAGGAGAAAGGAATAAGGAAAAAGAAAGGAGAGAGAGAAAGGAGATAGATAAGGAAAAAGAAAGGAGAGAGAAAGGGAGATAGATAAGGAAAAAGGAAGGGAGAGAAAGGAGATAGATAAGGAAAAAGGGAAGGAGAGAGAATGGGAGATAGATAAGGAAAAAGAAAGGGAGAGAGAAAGGAAAAAAAGGAAAAAAAAAGGAGAGAGAAAAAGAGATATATAAAAGAAAGGAAAGAGAGAATGGGAGATAGATAAGGAAAAAGGAAGGGAGAGAGAATGGGAGATAGATAAGGAAAAAGGAAGGGAGAGAGAAAGGGAGATAGATAAGGAAAAAGGAAGGGAGAGAGAATGGGAGATAGATAAGGAAAAAGAAAGGGAGAGAGAAAGGGAGATAGATAAGGAAAAAGGAAGGGAGAGAGAAAGGGAGATAGATAAGGAAAAAAAAGAGAGAAAAAGAGATAGATATCAAAAAAGGAAGGAGAGAGAAAGGAGAAGAAAAAAAAGGAAAAAAAGAGAAAGGAGATAGATAAGGAAAAGAAAGGAGAGAAAAAAGAGAGATAGAAAAAGGGAAAAAGAGGAAGGGGAGAGAAAAGAATGGGAGATAGATAAAAAAAAAGGAAGAGGGGAGAGAGAACAAAAGATAGAGAGAAAAAAAAAAAGGAGAGAAAATGGGAGAGAAATAAGAAAAAAAGGAAGGAGAGAATGGGAGATAGATAAGGAAAAAGGAAGGGAGAGAGAAAGGGAGATAGATAAGGAAAAGGAAGGGAGAGAGAAAGGGAGATAGATAAAAAAAAAGGAAGGGAAAGAGAAAGGGAGATAGATAAAAAAAGGAAGGGAAAGAGAAAGGGAGATAGATAAAGAAAAAGAAAGGGATAATTGAGAAAACAATAGTGAATGAGAGAAAAAAGAGATAGAGAAAGAGAGAATCTCACAGAGAGAAAAGAGAGAGAAAATAGACGAGAAAGAGAGATAGATAGAGAAAAACAGAGAAAAAGATAGGAGGAAACTGACAGAAAGAGAGACAGAGGGAGAAAAGAGAGATGGACGGAAAAGAAAGAAATATATATGTAGAGAGAGAGAAAGGAGGAAGGCTATATAGAGAGATAGATAGAGAAGGCAGGAGAGAGAATAAAAAAGATAGAGAAGGAGACAAAGCTAGAGTGAGAGAGAAAGAGAAAGAGAGAGAGAGAGAGAATAGACAGAATTTTAAGCAAACATTGATTGTGAAATTCTCTATGTTATTGTCAATACTTGGGTGCCTATTGGATTTGCCTGTTAGGTTCACTGATGAAAACAGAGAATCGAGTCCTAGGAGGTCGCTTTCATATGTAATCATTTTACTGATACCAACTGGGCATTCTCCAAGGTAATCTTTCAAATAATCAGGGAGAGAAAATACACCAAGCTCAATTTAAACCAAAAGCGTATTAATTGCTGAACTTTGAACATAGAAAGGAAACATTTTTCACGAACTTAAGTTTCTAAGATCGGCGCAAAAGTGAAGTTTTAAATTTTATAAATTCAGTGAAAAATCCTTTAAATAATTTTGATGATACGAAAGGAAATTTTACCTCTGCCCCGTAATAGGTATTACATTTACACGTATATTTCATAGAGTAATTATAGCAATTTTTATGTGAAGTACTATATATCGATTAAAATAACTAATATTAAAATTTAAAAGACGTGTAGATACCCGTAACTGCAAAAAAAAAAAATAAAAAAAAATAAAAATAAAAACAACAAATAAAAACCCTCAATGTTCCAGGGTAAAAATATTGATGTGTTTTTAGTTTCACAATTCAGTAATTGTTAAACTCTCGTGAGACAAAAATAGTTTTAAGAAAATTGTGTTGCTTACACTATTCGGACTGTTACCCTCATCTTCATTGCCATATTTCGGCCGATATACGCTCCGGCCTTCTTCAGGTGATTGGAATTTCAAACCGATCTCTTTATTTCGTCCACTGCGGAAGATTGTTCTAGTTCCTCGTGCCATGCCTCTTCCGAATGTCTCAGTTATTTCCCTTGAACTCAACTGTTGTGGCTTGTTATTGAACCCACAACGCTTTGGGTCTAGTAACTGGATCTAACCAACATCTTCCCCCCCCCACCACCGGGTCATATATCGTTGAGGGCGTCTCTGTAGGAATCTTTAGTACTTATAAAGCTAATGTCTCAGCAGCGATTTTTTTTACCAGTGCTCATATTGCAATTTTTATTGTCCCCAAAATTCATCCACAGATATTCACAAGGACACATGGCCTGGTGGATTAGATCCAGTGACTATACCCAAAGAGTTATGAGTTCAATACCAAACTTAGAGAAAGGGAAAAAAACTGAGACATCCGGGAGAGGCATAGCATGTGGAACTAGAACAATCTACACCGGTGGACGAAATAAAGGGTTCAGTTCGAAATATTCGAATATAGCAATGAAGATGAGGATAACAGTCCGAATAATGTAAATAATGCAAGTAATCATAATGCCTCATTTCCGAGATATAGAGGCCGAAACGTTGTGAATATGACAATGAAGATGAGGATAACAGGCCGAATAATGTAAATAATGGTAGTAATCATAATACCTCATCTCAGAGATATAGAGGCCGAAACGTTGTGAATATGACAATGGAGATGAGGATAACAGGCCGAATAATGTAAATAATACAAGTAATCATAATACCTCATCTCAGAAATATAGACAAATTGTGTTGCGAGAACGGCCTGTATGACATATCATTGGAAATTAGCCAACAACTGGTATCCTTAGTGAACACTTAAGGAGCCTTTATTGCATTTAACGCTATATTCTCAATCTTCGTGACAAATCATCGAACCACCCCGTGAGGATCAAATTCGTGATGCTAGCGAATATACTCCAGGGTATCCTTCTCCAGTACGCATCCTACGTGCGGTCAGTCTATGTCTATGTATGCCGAATTTTATAAGATCTTCAAGTGTATTTGATTGCAGTCAGTATCGCCAATTATTGTCAGCTGAAGAGCGATGGGGTTTAATTAGCCATGAACAAGTCTTCAGTTTAAGTGAATCGACAAAATGATTCGGAAGTAAAAGATCCTGCTTTCACTTACCCAATGGTCCAAGTCTGTAATTAAAATTGATGACAATGATGCCTTCCAAGGCGAGGAGACTTCCTTCAAACATGGCGCCCATACCCTGCTGATAGGAGCCTCCGTGAACGAAAATATCAACCGGAAGTAATGTTCCGGCTTCCACTTCCTGAAAGGAAAAAAAAAAAAAAAAAGAAGCAATTAATGTCAATTTTAAAGCTGTTAATTTTTAATATACCCTTTTTAAAGGATTTTTTTGATTGAAAAGAAAGAAAGAAAAAGTTGATATTTTCAAAATGAACGAAAGTGACTGCCAACTTAAACATGTTTTTTTTTTGTTTCTTCATTTTTAATTATTTTTGGTTTCGTTTTTTTCTCTCGTATTTTTACTCTTTCTTTTCTCATAAAAATTGCTTCTTGAGCATCAACTTTTTTTTATTTTATACAAAATTTAGATTAACTCATTTTCCATGTTTTTCTTATCTTTTCGTTGGTAAGAAATATTAAGGAGAATTATCATAAAATATTTGCAGATAAGATTTTATCAAAATTTAGAAATCTGTCTAATATGTCCACATTCCCTCAAGAGATTTCTTTGAAATCATCTTTTTGCAAGAAAAACAAGATAATTTAAAAGATTCATTGTTGTTGTCCAAGATCTAGATAATTTTTTTTTTTGGCGGGCAAAGAATCTTTTGTTGCCAAAAATCAGTGAAATTGGCCGACATCCGGGTGCTAATATAATTGTTGAAACTGTATTATTTTGATAAAGTTTTTGTGGCGACTGTTAAAACTATTTTGATTATTAGTAATTGACACCTTCAATAAAATAGACCGAAGGAAAAAAAAAAGAAAAAAAGAAGCGAATTTCACATGGTGGGTGGGGTTGTTCTTTTCTGTTTTTATTGGCGTCTGAGCTATGAATAATGTAGATGTTAAGATATTGCTATTTTTGCTTAAGAAATATTTTTCTTCAACGAATGACTCACCTGCGCCGCTTTACAGTTTGCTGAATAAAAAAAATGATGATCATCACATATTCACATTAGTTTTTGATACCTAAACAGATCTTCCCTTTGAAACAATGAGAGCAGGAGAATAATAATGCAGATTGGTTAAAACTTTTGTGATATGAATGCATACAGAATTATAAGTATAAACAGTAGTATAAGAAACGTTGTAAATAAATACCACATCCACTTATTCCATAGTCTTCGGTAAATTTGCATATTTTTCTTTTCGTTCCAGGCAACACATACTAAAAGGCTATTCTTAATGCTCGAGTGACAGTTTTGTGTTGTCATCTTAAACAATAGTCACATATTTAAAATATCGTGAAGCGTCTGTAGACGGTTAGTTATAAGGTAAGCAAACAATCAAATATTCAAAATGGCGCCGGCTGTATTTAAATATATTTTGCAGATAATGGGCGGACATTTAATAACACAGAAGGCAAAACAACAAATATTGTCAAATGAAAAGAATTCTTATAAAATTAGTCATATGAATAAAATAAATTTTTGACGTGAAAATCGGCTAAAAAAGCATAGAATGTGATCCTAACACTATTTTAAAAAATATGTTTCACAAAATTAATGTTTCCAAAGACTGAATTAATAAATTAAGCCTGAATTTAGCACAAATTTATTACAGAAAATATTACATGCATTATGTGAGAGAGTTATTTTTTACTGTCAGTCAGTTATATGCCATGCGTGATACGCGCTTAGGCGATCATGTATCTTTCCATACATGACTGACGAGGCAGATTTTTCCCCGCAATAAATTGCCAGCTATAGAACCCGGTCTGTCCTGCTATTTACCCATAGCTGAGGGAAAAGAAGAGGATCCATACATTCCCCAAGCTTATTAGCACGTAAGTGAATGTAATGGATTTAACTGGAATTCGAACCCGGTTCTCCGATTCCTCAATCTGAGCCACTATTCATTACTACACCATGTCTCCTTTTTACTATCATTGTCCAATAATATTGTTACATTTATACGTACAAGTCATATAAGAAATGTAACAAGTTTTATGGGACAGAAGTAGTAGATTAGTATAACAACAACAACAACAACAATAATAATAATAATAATAATAATAATAATAATAATAATAATTGGTATTGATATGAACACTACCCAGACCCGGTTACGGAGATAGGCCGTGTAACAATTTTATGGGACTACACAATACACACAGACAGAACAATCAAATCTAATCGCCCTGACATCGTTATTAGAGACCGCAAACAAAAAAGCCTCCTTATTGATATGACAGTCTCTGAAGACTGCAATGTATCTTTGAAGATCTTCAAAAAGCTATCAAAATACAAGGACCTTGATATCGAAATCGCAAAAATGTGGCACATGGGAACATCAACAATCCCTGTTGTGGTTGGATCCCTTGGACTGGTTGGAAAAGATTCCACTAGACTCAATGAAGAGGTTCCTGGAAGCCCATATCTCAAAGAAATACAAAATTTGTTTTCACGAGTACAGCCCACACCTTACGAAGGGCTTTACCTATATAAAATGTGTTTTTTTTTCTTTAATTGGTCAGTGGAAAATATCATGATGCCATTTCTGATCTTAGGTCTCTGGGCGGGACCCGGAAAGAAATGTGTACAGACCAGAAATCAAAGGAATAATAATAATAATAATAATAATAATAATAATAATAATAATAATAATGCTCTGATGCTACACCAGTCATGGCTCTCATGGTTTCTGTTCTTAAGCGATTGAGGATGTTAAGATGTACATGTTTGCTTTGGTCAATTAAAATGTGCTACAAAAATATTCCATTCATTACCACAAATTTCCCTGATCTTAAGTAGTTGATCATGACCTTTAGGGGCTTATGTATTGTATATCTCAGCTCATGAGCGGGAATAGTGTGCAAGCATCATGGTCGGATGTCGTGAATGTTTTTTTTTAAAAAACTTTGAAGGTGATTCAATCTAAGGTGATTTGTGAGTCCTATCTAGACATTATAGATAACGCCCTCAATCAGAGATAGTCTTAGTGCATTGGGTTACCTGACCTGAAGGTATTTCTGATTGGGCCTCACCTGCAAGATTATGCGCTGCTTGATATTAAAACCTTTCACCATATCGCGCGCATTTGGCTGTGCTGCATGTGCCTGGCATACACTTAGCAGACTAGGTGTCACGATGGGAATATTGGGCGCCGCATATTTGTACCCCAGCGTCTCTTTTGTGACGTACGCTTCTCGCTCACACATAATAATAATAATAATAATAATAATAATGAAGGATATCAGTGGTTCACTGTTCCTCGAACCTTCTCTCTTACTAAACTTATAGTAGGCGGAAGAGTCTAACATAGACTTTTAGAGGGAAGACACCACAACAATTCGTTGCACAGTCTGTGGTAGGGGTTTATTATTTTTACAGATGATTTACATGTATATTGAGTTCAGCTCGCATCGGGAGACGGACCAATATAAAATACGGAACCAGCTTGTTAAGCATCTAACCGAGTAGGATTATGTTCACTAGATCATTATAACCTTTGTCCTGGGTATGACGATAAACTACATCCGCCTTCACGGTAAGACGATAAATTACATCCAACAGCAAGCCCTCTGATCGGGAGGTTTTGTGTACCTCTTAATTGCTGGTGTTCCCAGGTCCACCCTAACCCGGGGTGGTAGCACCTGTTAGGGTCCCAGCTATGGGCAAATAGTTAACTCCGAAACTGAGGTAAAAAGCATTATAAAAGTGTAATGGGTTTTAATACCAGAAATACTTTGTAAAAAAATATTACCAGAAATAAATTTTTGAAGAAAAAAACTATTACCAGCAATATATTTTTGAAAAAAAAATATTACCAGCTATACATTTTTGATCTAGTTTGAAAAAATATTACCAAGTGAGTAATTTAAAAAAAAAAAAGTTTTACGAAAATAAAACCCTCCAAGATTGTAAATTTCCTAAAAGAAGTTGGATTGTACTAAAAAATATGAGTAATTGAAAAATGGTTCAAATATATATGTATACATACACACCTTTCTTTTTTTTACCAAACTTTCGCTATGAATCTATTTAAAAAAATTTGTGGGCAATAAATGACCCACTGAGGTTTTGGTATGCCATAAAACAAAACAACCAGCCAAACAACAGACCAACCCAAAGTCACACCGCTTCGATTTCTCCCACGTTCATTTCAAACTTCAGACCATTGATTACATAACCACTACCCTGTCTTGACCTTTTCTGCTTTCTTGTTTTGAAAACGTTCAACGATGGCTGAAAGTACTTGGAACGAAATACATATTTTCAGAAAATTCCTTTTCAGCTTTTCACCTGTCATTGACTTGTTCGACACGAGGACACTACGAGAAACTCACCAGAAGGCTTAACAGATGATTCCTGTTTATTCTACTTAAAACGATCATGTTTAAATAAAACATGCCGTACGACACTTCACTGATAGTTCACCCACTATAAAGCCCAAGAGCCACTCAAGTTAGAAGATTACTCAGTGAGGGAAAGGGGGTGGTGGGTGGAGACGAGTATTATGAGAATGAGGGGAATAGATATCGATTGGCTCTTGATTAAAAGACCAAGATTCTCGTTGGGAAAGAAGCTGTCTGAATGGAACTCACTACTCAGTCGTGATTGTTCTAGCGAGACGAGCTCGCTAACCATTACACCGCCTCGCGGTGCCCCACGCATATATATATATATATATATATATATATATATAAAGAGAGGCAGGGAGGTAATATAAAAACAACTTGTTATATAACAATTTAAACAATATAAAAAACAACTTGTTATATAACAATTTAAATCTTAAAAAAAACAACTTGAAAGAGGCCGTTTGAACAACACAAGGACTGACCAAAATTACCGATAAGGAAACAAATGAAAACTATAAAAAAAGTTCACTTTCTTCAGAAACAGTCATTCACTCCTGTAGTTTACTGCTACTAACAAGAAGGGATTTTTTCTCCTGATGATGGCCATGTTGACCGAAATTAGTCGAGGAACCTAACTGAAATAATAAAACAAAAATATTAATATACAACCCGAAAATTTAAATTTTGTAATATTTTTTCAATATATATATATATATATATATATATATATATATATATATATATATATATATATATATATATATATGTGTGTGGGTGTATAAATACATGTTTTATTAAAACGACAGACAATACGGTAAAGCTTTTATTTAATTTTTCTTGTGTTGGAACAAGTGTTTTTTTCACCAAAGGAATACGAAGGGAATGGTGATGGGTTTGCCACTGTGGCGGGTCCTAACTGTTAAGGTCCAAGCTAATGGTGCAAAAGAATGTAACTCGTCCGAACATCTGCCATAATATTAGCGATATAGTAGTGAAAGGCTGACGATGTTTCGTTTGTGGGATAAGTATTATAGAATGGACAATAATGCATCACCCCACACATTTGGATTCTGTCGTGGTTTGGACAGTGAGGTTTGTGCAGCAATAGCCCAGATAAGGCAGCAATACATTATTCTTCATCTGATTTAATTCTTATCAAGATAGGACAATGGCAACGGGAGTTCGATATTTTCTGGGGTGATATTTTCTGGAATATGCGCGTTCCACTTAAGGTCAGGAGTAAGCTTTAACCCCAGAAGGCGTTCGAGGCAAGGAACCCCTTTGAGTTTTACGCCACTCATCAGGGTTGGTGCAGGTTTAAGGTCTGCTCGGTGGTGATGAAATGTTACAAGTTTAGTACTAGATGTATTGAATGATATCAGTCAGTCTTCCCCCCATCCCATTGAGCCGTGAGAGTTAGATCAGAGAAGAGATCAGTTGGCATGCACTGGTCATCAAGATATTCGGAGGTGAGCTCATACAGTGTGGTATCAATAGAGATTTACTAAGGATTTAAATGTGTTCCTGAGCAGAAAGAGTGTGGGATCGAGGAGACAACGTTTGGGGACGCCAGCCTTGATCTCATGTGTTACAGAGAAGTGGTCATTAACACGACCTTCATTGATCTACCGACAGGAAAG